TTGTTTGTGAGACTCAGGCTATGTGAATAACCTTGGAAGCCTCATTATTTAAGCTATATTATCTGGCCTCCAGGTCAGAACTGACCCTTCTGGGCGCCAAGAGTTATAAATCTTGCCTCACATCCCCTCCTCCTACAAAGCAGGGCTGGCTCCCCAGAATGTAACCCGGGAGGGGAGGCAAGTAGCTCCTAGAAAATATAGCCCAGGCTCCTTGAAAATATAAAAACATGATAACATAGAAACGCAGCTCACTCCAAACTGCACATAGGTGAACAAATGTTTAACTTCAGACCCCATCATTTGCCCTATAAATATGGCCCTTATGGGGATGGACAGTTGGAAGTCTCACCTGAGTGGAGGATGCTCCGCCCAAGCCTCTCAATCTGGACTCCAGCCAGGCTGTCTCCATGGGGCTTCCCCAGCTAATGAGGTTGGATGTTGTGTTACCTGACTAATGTAACATTGTCTTATTCTCATTTATTGCTTACTATTGCTCTCATTTATGTGTAGATTCCTTTCTTCTGTTTCTATTAGGTTTCTATAATAATAAACTTTTCTCTCCTTTTAGAAACCAAAACGCAGCTGTTGTGAATATTTTCACAGAACACCCAGGGATTCCACTCCCTGGTATATATCCAAGAGAAATGAAAACATACATCCACACAAAAACTTGTGCACAAATATTCACAGCAGTGTTATTTATATAGCTCAAAGGTGGAAACAAAATGTTTAAATGTCCATCAACTGATGAATCAATACAATGTGATATATACACACACAAGAGAATATTATTCAGCATTAAAAGGAATAAAGTATTAATACATGCCACAATATGGATGAACCTTGAGAACATTATGCTAAGTAAAAGCAGTCACAAAAGACCACATACTGTATGATTCCATTTATATAAAATGCCCATAGAAAAGGCAAATCTAGAGAGATAGAAAGCAGATTAATGGTTGCCTAAGGCTGGGTTGGAGGGGCAGTTGGGTGAAATGAATTTGACTGCTATATGGTACAAAGCTTCTCTTTGGGGTGATGAACTATTCTAAAATTAATTATGGTGATGGTCACACAGCTCTGTGTATTACTAACAACCACTGCACTGTAACCTTTAAATGGGTGAATTATAAGGTATGTGAATTATAGCTCAATAAAACTGTTATTAAAATAAAAAGTCACCCCCACGTAAATCTTTCCCTTAGCCACCCACCCCTGCCCCCACTCTCCTAGTCCCACTATCCCAAGCTCCTATGGGCTCCCATACTTGTGCACGCTTTTATTACATAGCATTTGTCACACTGTACTGTAATTATTAGTATAAATGTCTACCACTCCAACTTGAATGTTTGAAGGCAGGGGTAGTTAAGCTTAACATATGGGAAGTACTCAATATTTCCTGAATTTCCTTCAAATTCTATTCCAATCCCTTAAATAAAACATATACAAATCTTTTACATACTGAAACAGTGTGTGCAAGCCATCTGAGAATCTGCTTTTCTACCAAATAGTTTATCAGTGCATGGAAATTGAGCGCAGAATTGTCATATTTGATAGCGTCACAGTATAACTCCAAGTCAAACACAATGGTTTGCTTATTAGTACTTTCTCTATCTCGGGGAATTACGTTGTGCCCAACTTTTAACCATTTATAAATACTTTGCTGGTACTATCCTTAGACATGTTAGTTATTTTCCTCTTTCTGAACCATTTCTTTAAGGTATCATCCTCAAATGAAAATCACTAGGTCAAAAGGCATAAACCCCTGGGTATCTGCTTGCTAAAGTCCTAACAATACTGCTTGCTAAAGTCCTAACAATATTGCAGTTGAAGCATATCTTATTTTTTGTTTTTTTAAAAGATTTTATTTATTTGTCAGAGAGAGAGAGAAAGAGAGAGCACAAGGAGAGGGAGTGGCAGAAGGAGAAGCAGGCTCCCCGCGGAGCAGGGAGCCCGATGCGGGACTCCATCCCAGCCAGGACCCTGGGATCATGACATGAGCTGAAGGCAGACGCTTAACGACTGAGCCACCCAGACATCCCAAAGCATATCTTATTTGTTAAAATTGATTCAAACTTCTCTTTCCTCAAAGAGCTAGACTAAATAAGCAATTCCATTTTCTTCTCTTTTTTTTTAGTTTAACTCTTAGACCCATCTAGAATTTATTTTGGCTTATAGCATGAGTTATATGGATCCATGGTGAGTGTTTTTCATAAAATTCACCAATTTACTCATAAAACATATTTTTAAATTCTTAGAAAAGATGGATTATTGAGTAAATAGCATTATAACTACTAAAAGCCACTTGGGTTAAAAAACAAAGAAACAAATTAGATTCATATGTCATTCTATATATCAAGATAAATTTTAGATAGAGTAAAGCTTAAAAATAAAAAGGAAACAATAAAAGTATCTGAAAACAATACAAGTGATTTTTAAAAAAATAATAATTTTACTGGGGCGCCTGGGTAGCTCAGTCGGTTAAGTGTCTGACTCTTGATTTTGGCTCAGGTCATGATCTCAGGGTCATGGGATCGAACCCCACAACGGGCCCTGTGCTCAACATGGAGTCCGCTTGAGATTCTTCCTCTCTCTCTGCCCCTCCCCCTCCCCTGCTTGCACACACTCTCTCTAAATAAATAAATAAAATCTTAAACAAATAAAAATAATTTTACTGAGAAGACCACAAAGACCATAAAGGAAAATACTGCTAAATTTAATACTACATAAAAGATTTCCTAAGGCTTAAAAATAGTAACTCATAAATAATGCTGAAAGGCAAACAAATGGGAAAAACATATGCAATACTTGACAAAGGGGCAGTTCTCATAAATAAAAGAAATATGTAGAAAGGCTATGAATAGGGGTGAAATGACCAATAAATTTGAAAAGATTTCCACCACACTAATAATCAAAGAAATGAAAAACAAAAAATAGTATTTGTCATCTACCTAGCAGAGATTTAAAACACTGACCAAATCATAAGCACATGTAAGGGAGATGGGCCCTCTTTTGCTCTTTTCATGGGAAAATAAGTTGGTACATCATCGGTAGAAAGCAGTTTGGTAACATGTATCAAAATATAAAATCTACAGAATGTTTGGCCCACAGTCGGCACATCTAAGATAGTAAAAGATATATTCTCATTCAGCGTAAAAATTTACAGTATAAATTACTGTAAACAAAATAATAAGGTTGCAACATACCAAAAAAAATCAGTATTTTCATATATGTACACTATAGTCAATTAGAAAACATCAGAAGATTCTAATTCCAAAGAATCAACGTTATCTTGAACTATGCAAGATCCAGATGAAGACAATTTAAAAACAGGCCTGAAACATAAAAGCAGTGCTGAACAAATGGAAAGGCATGTAATGTTCTTGAATAGAAATTCAGTATTATAAAGCCGTCAATGTAAAGCATGATACACAAACAACGGAATAGTATGCAGCTATTTAATTATACTATAAATCTGTATTTCAGTTCAAATTAGATCAGTGCATTAGTTGATTCCTCAATTTTTAATGTATATTTGTCCAAACAAAATCTTACCCTTTTCTTCAAAGCCCAGCACAAAGCTACCTCCTTTATGGCCTTTCCTAATCTCAGGAATGGTATTGGTTGCTTTGTCCTCTTCATTTCCATCTTAAAAGGTTTATCACACTCTTATACTAATTATTTTACTCTGCCTTGTTTATTTTTTCTATGCTCATCTCCCAAATCATGATAAGCTACTTAAGGGCAGAATCATTTCCACAGTTGCTATCACATGATAGATATTTTCATGTTTGCTGGAAGCACAAATGGCTACTAAATATTTTTTAAATGTTCTTACTTTAGGGGTGCCTGGGTGGCTCAGTCATTAAGCGTCTGCCTTAGGCTCAGGTCATGATCGCAGGGTCCTGGGGTCAAGCCCTGCATCAGGCTCCCTGCTCGGTGGGAAGCCTGCTTCTCCCTCTCCCATTCCCCCTGCTTGTGTTCCCTCTCTCACTGTGTCTCTCTCTGTGAAATAAATAAATAAAATCTTAAAAAGAAAAAAGTTCTTACTTTATTACTAGTCATAAAAATCCACTAGAGAATAAAGATATTACAACTTTAAAAAATCGTATCAGCAACAATTTAAGATTTTATTTATTTATTTGAGAGAGAGAATGAGAGAGAGAGAGCACAAGAGAGGGGAATAGGAGAGGGAGAAGCAGACTCCCCGCTGAGCAGGAAGTCCAATGCAGGACTCAATCCCGGGACTCCAGGATCATGACCTGAGCCGAAGGCAGTCGCTTAACCAACTGAGTCACCCAGGCGCCCATATCAGCAACAATTTAAAAGAATGGGATTATGCAGTACCAATAAAGGCAGAGCAAAAGGAGTGCTATGTATCTCTCCATGAGGACAGAGATCACCAAGGAAAGCAATTTGGCAGTATGAAAGAAGAACCTTAAAATAATTCAAACACTTAGGCCTAGTAATTCTACTTCTAAAAAAATAATGAGAAATAAAGAAAGACGTTAGGTATAGAGACAGAGATTATTACAGAAATTATCTAAAATAAGGAAATGGCTGAATTATGGGACAAACTTTGTAGCCAATAAAAAAAACTCAGGAAAATCAGAAAGGTAATATGTCAAAATTTTGATAGTAGTTGTCTACAAAGAGTGGGTTTAAGTTGTATTCTCTTCTTTCTAATGTTCTTTTTTTTTTTTTTAAGATTTTATTTATTTATTTGAAAGAGAGAGAATGAGAGAGAGCACATGAGAGGGGGGAGGGTCAGAGGGAGAAGCAGACTCCCTGCCGAGCAGGGAGCCCGACGCGGGACTCGATCCCGGGACTCCAGGATCATGACCTGAGCCGAAGGCAGTCGCTTAACCAACTGAGCCACCCAGGCGCCCTCTTCTTTCTAATATTCTATGTTTTCCAAAATAAGTATATACTACTTTCATAATCAGAAAACAAAGGCTAATGAAATAAAGGTAAGAATGATGGGAAGAAAGAGTCCTTACCTAGGGAGGTCACATTTCCATAATTCTCCAACATCACATCCCAGTATAAAGCCCTCTGAATCGGGCCCAGACACTCCCATTCCTCTGAAGTAAAGCATACTGACACTTCCTCAAACATCACCAACTCCTGAAATAACAGGTATGTGTGAGATTATCCATGCCCAGGAGCTCCCCTACTGAAAAGTTCCTTTCACTTCTGGGTAAGGACACATTATGAGGCCATGAGGCAAGCAAGGGCTATCAGAGAGACATAAGGAAACCCCACACAAAGTCTACCTTCCAATCACATGGACTGTGATTTACAGATAGGAACTGATTGGGCCCCAAACACTAGGATGACAGAGGATACCTCAGCCATAGTTTGGTAGTGCAGAGAGGGCCTTAGGAAGGAAAGAGAATGCAAACCTACCTGGGGCTGGGCTGTTAGGAGCATGAGGGCCATTAATTGATTTCTTGGGTTCTCTTCCTGGGAAAGGGCAGAAGCTTCAGGGGCAGGAGAATCTGAAGGAGCAAAAGCTGCACGTGAAATTACTGCTGTTCCTGACCACTAATCCAAGTCCCATTTCTTCTACAAACAAGGAATTCAGAAAGACCCAGAACTCCCAGGACTAGACAATGATGGCTATAAAATGACTTACAAACCTCTTCTGAGTAACCCCCATGTGAAGGACTGGAATAATAAAAGAACAGCAATAAGAATGGATAAAAGGTCACAGGGACCCAGGAAAGGATAGGTGGGGGAATAACAGAAAGAACTTGGTACCATAAGGGTTTCATATACAAGACAGGAGAGGAGGCAACTAACTGCAAGTTGGAGGAGCCATAATAAAGATCCTGAGAAAGTCCAAAGCCAGGATCACTAAGTACCATGTTGTGGATCCTGAAGATTGAACATCACTGGGTCAGTAAAAGGATTTTGGCAAATTTCAGTTGCTATGCGGCTGCCAATGGGTGCATGAGGAACTGCTGTTCCTGGAGTGTTCATCCCTTCCTGAAGAATGTCCTGGTGCTGAACAAGAACTGGAACCTAGGAACAAGCAAAACAAAATAAGCTGACTTTTCTTGTACCTCCAGAAAACGGGCTCACCTAACCACTATGGACCTCTTTCTGCCCACAATCTCGAACTGTGAGATCAGAGACCCACCTCAAGTATGGAGCATCAAAACAGCAGTAAAGCTTTGCCTTGAGAACAATGGAGCTGGCCCTCTAGCCCCACTCATGGCACTGGTGACCTCTCCCACTGAGACTGAACAGAACGGTGGAAACAGAAGCGAGATCTGGGTGTGGGCTAGGAGGGAATGGGAAGTAACAAGTAATAATTAAGAGTATGGGTTTTAGCTTCAGACCTGGTTTTAGATTAGACTTGGGTTCAATACACTCTTCTACTTATTTACCCCTTTATTATCCGTTCTTGCTCCAATAGAAGGAACACCAGAGTCTAGACACATGGTTTTGCTGCTACCTAGATATCTGACATAAGACAATCCAGCAAACCTTTCTCTGCCTCCACTTTCCTCTCTCTCAAATAAGGATGGATTAGTGCCTTGTAATGAAATATATAGCTCTAAAAATCTTCATTTTTATGATTAAAATAAACAAGCCCATCCTTGGTGCCACTCCCAAGTTTTAAGTTAGGTTTCAGACTTCTTATATACAAATGTTTCTGGTGGACTACAGAGTGACAGAAAGAGATCTCACACACACTAGGAAATATATTAAGATCCCAATTTAATGGTCAAGAATATAAAATCTTTCCAGAAGTAAATATCTCAACCCAATCCCTTGGCCCACATAATCCCCAGTAGGGGCACACATGGGAAGGTCCTGCCAGATTTAGAAAGCTTCATTCTTGCTGTCCCATTGCCGTTTATACTCCAAGCTTACATCATCATTCCTAACAAACTTATACAAATAATACATATGCTTCTGTTTAGGGGAACACTTAGAAACATTATGTTCTTCAGGTTATTCAACCAAACTCTGCATTAGCAAGCATCACCCAGAGGGATAAAGTGTACTAATTCTGAATTAGACCCAAGATGCCAATCATAAATCCATTTCTCTGCAGATATTCTATGATCTGAAATAGCTCATGAGCCTGCTGTAATAAGCATTACAGTTGCTAATGAGCTATTAATTGTTTACAAAAATTACAGGATCACCCTCCAGCCCAGCTTGCCCTGCCTTAATTCTCTCCTTCCTTCCATCCCAAATCTCTCCCCTCCCCCTTTCTCACTTTTAGTGCTGGTCCATCGAGGTCTTTCTGTAGCTCCTCTACCAGGGCCACAGCCTCCTCACCACTCCCAGGGCGATGGATCTGCACCCAGGTCCGAATCTCCCCAGGCAGAATGCTCAAGAACTGCTCCAGGACCAGCAGTTCCAGGATCTGGGCCTTAGTACGTGCTTCTGGCCTCAGCCATCGACGACAGAGCTCCCGGAGCCGGCTCAGTGCTTCCTGGGGTCCAGATGTCTCATGGTAACGTAACTGTCTAAAGTGCAGGTGGGAGGTCTCCCAAACAGAGGAGCTGCTTCCTTGGAAGCTGGTTCCCCATTTCCAGGTATCATCCTTCCCTTTAACAAGACCCTCTTGTCTCAGAGCATTGTGGGCCCAATTTTCTCTTGTCATTGTCGTCATTTAAGAAAGGCTCCTCTCCAGGCCCCTTCAATCCTTGCTTCAATCCTTGCTTCCTTAAAGCTTGGAGAATATCATCTAGAAGACCTCAAGAAATCATTGATAAAGTTAACCCAAAGCAATAACCAAGATTTCCAGACCCCAGTCAATTTCCTGTAATGAAGAGAACCTTCCTAAATCCAAGGTTCTAGGTTCCGGGCAGTGCCTCCTCTGACAGAAGCCCCTGCCCAAGGCTCTAAGGACACAGACACTCATGTTACCCAGACCACTGCTGCAACCAAAGTAATGAAATCCCTTTAGTCTTTATTCACAATATCTCCTCCACCTAATTACAATAAATCTTTATCTACCACTCTAACATTGGGCATCCTGGCTACTCCTGTGTGACCCTGAACAAGTTACCTCACTTCTAAGTCTGTTTCTTAACCTGAAGAATGGGGTAATAATAGGTCCTACTGTATAGCCTTGTGTAAGAATTTGGTCTTTACATATATTTCCCCAAGTTTTGAACAGTGCCTGGTATACGGGCTCAAATGTTAGTTATTATCTTTCTATAACTAGAACTCTTTCCTATGTTCTGTACAGTCAACAAGTAAGGTCTTAATCCTGATACAAGAGACAAAATCCTAACACCTCAATTAACAAAGAAAGGCTGAACTCAGTTAGCTTTACTATACATACTTTGAATTCTCTGAAAATTGTTCATTACATCAATCAAAATATTTAGATAAATTTGACTTTTATTATACAAAACTTAGGCTTGTGGCTAAAAATCTTTTTTTAAGAAATAACATTTATTTTTCCTATTACAAAACATAAAATTTGTAAAATCAGAAAAGACAAAACCAGAGTTGTTCTTCTGATCTTCTGCACCAATTTGGATCACAAGATTGGAACCAACAGTACATCTCTCTAACTTGCTTTTCACATGTTATCTTGTAAATATATTTAATATAATCCTCATCGTTATTTTAAGAGCATATAAGCCCATTCATACTTAAACATTCCCCTGTTGTTAGACATTTAAATTATTTATTATTTCCTCCTATTATAAATTAGGCCACATTGACTATCCTTGCTAATGAATTTTTGGTTACATTTCTGCTTATTTTTTCAGGAAAAATTCCCAGAAAAAAAAAATTGTTGGGTTGGAAGGTACAAACAGTTTTAAGCTTTTGAGATTATAACAGTTACATCACTGTCAGTGACATGAAAGCACCCTCACTAATTTCATTTAAAACTTGGACTCTTACAGAGCATGTTTATAACTAAGCAGAGGAGGCAGAAATGTAAACACAATTTCGATATAGTATATAAATAAAATTAATAGGAAGTCATACAAGCACAGAAAGAATTCATGAAAGGTTATTCTGGATTGGACTTGAAAGAAAAATAAAAAGACCACTGGAGTATTAGGCAAGCCATTCCAGGAAGAGAGAACTATATTTTCAAAAGCATGGGAATAGCACATATAGCTCTATTAGAAATGCACTTTACAAGGAAGGAAGGAAGGAAGGAAGGAAGGAAGGGAGGGAGGGAGGGAGGGAAGGAGGGAGGGAGGGAGGAAGGAATATGCTTTGCAAACCAGAGAAGGGAGGTAAACTCTGGAGGCAAGGCTGTAGGTGCAGAGTCAAGAGGTAAACAGAAGTCAAATTCTAAAGGCTCTTAAGAGGCAGAACAAGAGGGTGATCATGTACTGTATGCGATACGTATCCAGTAAAGAGATTTTACTTTATATTTTTCCTTGTTATTTTTTTAAATAGGTAATATTGGTTCAAAATTTTAAATTATAAAATGCATACTGTGTAAAGTTTCCCTCTCCGCATTAGTTTCTTATGTACCTTTCCAGCTATTTATGTTTATACAATTAAGTATAATATATATTGTTTTGTATTTCCTTTTTTTCACAAAACACCATGAATCATGCACTGCATCTTCCTTTTTCCAATTAACAATGTATCTTAGGGCCACCTGGCTGGCTCAGTCAGTGCAGGATGGGACTCTTGATGTCAGGATTATGAATTTGAGCCCCACATTGGGTGCAGAGATTACTTAAAAATAAAATCTTTAAAAAATATATATCTTAGAAATCTTTCCTGTCACAAATAGCCCCTCCTGCCTTTTTACTGATGCATGGTATCACTATACGGGCATATCTTAATTTATTTACCTACTCCATCACAGATGGGCAGTTTTCAATCTTTTCTTATTAAAAACAATATTATCATTAAAAACCTTGAGCATACATCAATTTGCATGTGTGTAGGCATATACATGAAAAGTTCCTCAAAGAACTGCTGGATCAAAATTTATGTGACCTTATAATTTTTTTTTTAGATTTTATTTATTTATTTGAGAGAGAGCGAGCGTGCATGCACAAGCAGGGGGAGGGGCAGAAGGGAGACGGAGAAGCTTAGCAAGGAGCCTGACATGGGGCTGGATCCCAGGACCCTGGGATCATGACCTGAGCCAAAGGCAGACACCAAACCGACTGAGCCACCCAGGTGCCCTGTGACTTTATCATTTTGATATTGCCAATTAGTCCTTCTTTGGGCCTAAACTAATTTACAATTTACACTCCAAGCATGAGCAGTATGGGAGTGCCTTTCTCCTCACTCCTTCACCAAATCTAACTTAGATTTTTAAGAGTCATTTATATTTTATTTTCTGTTACCTATTCATATCTTTTGCTCATGTTTCTATTGGAATGTTTGGTCTTGTTAATGTGTACACACTCTTTACATTAAGAAAATTAGTCCTTTGTTACAATGGGAGTGGCAAATTTTTCCTTTTCTCATCTCTTTACCATACACCTCATGTGACTTTGCTTATATTTGTTTTGCCACACAACCCAATCTTTTTCTTAATGCTCTATGTTTTGTTTCATATTTAGAAAGGCGTTTCCTGCTCTGAGCATGAATGAAATATTAACTAACAGGGTCAAAATTCTATATGGGAGGAATGATGGGGGAGGGAGGACTAGATCTCAGGAAGGCCAGTAAAGTTTTTACAATGGTCTAAACAAATGATTAAGTTCTAAACTTAAGTAGCACTAGGGATAAAATAATTGAGAAAAACTGAGCTGTTCTTGATAACTGATCTGGGGGTGATGGAAAGGAACTTTCAAAAAGGATTTCTATCCCACGTTCACAGACAGACTCAATATTGCCAAAGTGCCACTTCTTCCCTACTTTATCTATAGTTAAGTGCAACTCCAATTACAACCTCAGCAAGTTATTTTGTGGATACCAACAAACTCATTCTATAGTTTATAGTAGAGGCAAAAGACCCAGAATAGCCAACATGACACTGAAGGAGAAGAACAAAGCTGAAGGACTGACACCACACATGAAGAGTTACGATAAAACTATAGTAATCAAAACAGTGTGGTATTGGCAAAAGAACAGATAAATTAATAGAACAGAATACAAAGCCCAGAAATAGATCCACACAAATAAAACTGCTATTTGATAAAGGAGCAAAGGCAGTACAGTGGAACAAAGCCTTTTTGGCAAGTGGTGCCAAGATAACTGGACATACACATGTAAAAAAAAAAAAAAATGAATCTAGACACAAATCTTACACCCTTCACAAAAATTAACTCAGAATGGATCTCAATGTGAAATGCAAAACTATAAAATTCCCAGAAGATAACAGAGGAGAAAACTTCAATGATCTTGGGTATGGTGATGACTTTTTAGATACAACACAAAAGGTGTGATCATGAAAAAAATAGTAAGCTGGACTTAGATAAAATTTAAAACTTCTACTCTGTGAAAAACAATGTCAAGAGAATGAGAAGACAAGCCACAGACTGAGAAAAATATTTGCAAAAGACATACATATCTGATAAAGAACTGAACTCTTAAAAATCAACAATAAGAAAATAAACAACTCAATTTAAAAAATGGCCCAAAGACCTTAACAGACACCTCACCAAAGAAGATATACAGATTCTAAACAAGAACATGAACAGATGCTCCACATCATATGTCATCAGAGAAATACAAGTTAAAACAGTAAGATACCACTATTAAGTGGCTATTTTGGCTACCTATTAAGATAGCCCAAATCCAGAATACACCAGAACACATCCAGACAACACCAAATGCTGGTGAGGATGTGAAGCAACAGGAACTCTCATTCATTACTGGTGGGAATGCAAAATGGTACAGCCAACTTTGGAAGACAGTTTGGCAGTTTTTCGCAAAACTAAACATACTCTTTACCATACAATCTGGCAATCGTGCTCCTTGGTATTTATTAAAAGGAGTTAAAAAAATATGTCCATACAAAAACCTGGACACAGATGTATAAACATTATAAACATCACGTGTATAAACAACACTTCGCATAACTGCCAAAATCTAGAGGCAACCAAGATGTCCTTCAGTAGGTGAATGGATAAACTGTGGTTCATCCCAACAATGGAATACTATTCAGCACTAAAAAGAAAAGAGCCGTCAAGCCATGAAAAGATATGGAGGAATCTTAAAATGCCTATTACTAAGTGAAAGAAGCCAATGTGAAAAAACTATATACTGTACAATTCCAACTACATGGCATTCTGGAAAAGGTAAAACATTGGAGTCGGTAAAAAGGTCAATAGCTGCTGGGGGTTGGGAGGAGAAAGAGATGAATAGGCAGAGCAGAGAGGATTTTTAGGGCAGTGAAACCACTCTGTACGATACTATAATGGTGGCTACATTATACACGTCATTTTACATTTGTCCAAACCCACAGAATGTATAACCCCAAGAGTAAACCCTAATGTAATGACTATGGAATTTGGGTGATTATGACATATCAATGTAGGTTCACTGATTTTAACAAATGTACCAGTCTGGTGGAGGATGTTATTAGTGAGGAAAGCTATGCATGAATGGAGGTAGGAAGTATATGGAAAATCTCTGTGTTTTTCTGCTCAATTTTGGTGTGAAACTAAAACTGCTCTAAAGAATAGTTCTTTTTTTTTGTATTTTCTTTCTGCCATTTATTTATTTATTTATTTATTAAAGATTTTATTTGACAGAGAGAGCACAAGCAGCGGGAGAGAGAAGGAGAAGGAGGTTCCCTGCTGAGCAAGGAGCCTGATGTGGGACTCGATCCCAAGACCCTGGGATCATGACCTGGGCCGAAGGCAGCCGCTTAACCAACTGAGCCACCCAGGCGTCCCAAGAATAAAGTTTATTTTGAGATAAATAAAACTTGGGGAAAAAAGGATTTTCTATAGTAAATTATTAGAATTCTATTTAATCTTACTTCACAGATACAAATAAATCCTAAAACATACAATTTGTTTCTCACCAAAGGCTTGTGAGCTATAAGTAAGAACAAAAGAAGGCTCAGGCGAGCTAAGCAGTTCAAGGCCACTGGACTGGTTAAGTTGTGGGAGCAAATTCTGAAATCACGGAACCGAATTCCAAAAGTCCAAAATACTTCCATCTAGAGACTTCTGAAAGCCAAACAACATTCATTCTAAAGCAATAGTTTCCAAACGCTAGTTCATTATAAAGATTTAATCTGGCACACCGTAAAACGAAAAATACAGTAACTGTACACAGTCACTGATAGAGGTTGGCAATGACCTTTCTTGCAAAGAATGGCATTTATTCTGAGTTTACAGTGTCAGTACTTAGCGTGAAAATATACTCCCTTAAGTAATGGTGGTATGAGTGGTGTAAGTTTGTTTTTAAATTACCATTATAATACAAAATTAAAAGATAGAAATTATTCCATCCCTACCAAAAAAAAAAAAAAGAAGTCCCTAGGAGTCTGGTTGCCACCGCTCTAGAAAGTCTCAAGCTGTCTCTACCAGCCTCAAAAAAGAATGACGAAAAGCAGAAAGGCCTGGCTACTGAGGCAGCTGTCCTCATTGTTTGACTCGAGCACCACAGACACACACGGATTCAGACGTGCTGCCCTCACTACCTTCCCCAAACCGGCATCTGCCCAAGTCGAGCCCAGGGCGTCCACGCCAATACGGAGCTAAGGAGGGACCGCACTGGGGGTCAGTGCCGGGGACCGGCCGGCGAGGGTTGCGCAGCCCTACGGAGCTTAAGCCCCTACCCTGGGCCGCCCTCCGCGCCTGCCCTCCCGACCCGAGCCCACCCCGCTCACCGGGGATTCCCGCTGCGCCTCCGGCATTGGGTATCGCCTCCTGGGCACCAGGACGCGGAGAGATGACACGGGAATCAACGGCAGCCGAAGCTCAGAATAATGGCTGACCTGTGAGTACCGCTACTTCCGGTTGCTCAGCAACCCCTCCCATCCCTGGCTCTCTGGGAAGCCACATCTCTATGATTCCTTGTTTTCTTTGGAGGGGGCGAGAATGGCTGAGATTCTGGGCCCTTTGGTTTTCATTTCTCCCAACGAACTGGTGGGAGCTGTTGCATTCCAGACTTGAAGGATGCATAGATGAATAACATGGCCCGGGCCCTCAGGACGCTTGTTACCTCCTCAATGAGTTGGACCTACTATCTTAGCTTGTACCACCTGGACTTACATATAGAAGGTCATGGTTCTTGAGTACACTATGGTTCGGAGAGGCCCAAAGGCGGTAGTCCTGAAATCAATCTAGTATCTCCTAGCCTTAGAAGTGGCTGGTAAGCAGAACAAAATGTAACTGAGGCCTTCCCAGTCCAAGAGATTGTGCAGATACTTCTTTTGGGGGTACTGGAAAATAATGGAAGTAGTTACTACACAGGTGAAGGGATTATTTCTTGAGACTAAATTCTTTGAGTCAAATATTAAAAGTAGCTTTTGCCTGTTACCTGAAGAATATGCCATCTGTGTTCTATACCACAGTCACCTCTGCTGACCTGTAATTTTTGTGCAACTCTTGAGGAATGGTTCTATCCATCCTGACAGCCTTCCATTTGTAGTGTGCACTATGACAACTCAGTCTATTTTGCTTCAGGGCTTTCTCTTCCAGCCAGGTCTCAGGTACTGCCTGGAAGAAGTGCGTGAGAAAAACAGCCCCATGGGCAACCCCAAAAGAATGACCATTAACAATTGGTGCATAAATGCCCAAGCTTCCCATGCTTTGGCAAGAAAATTCTCAGCTATGTCCTACTTGGATCCTTAGGGGTCACCAAGTGAGATTGAGCCTTAGTTGCTCACAGTAGAATCACTCAATAATTCACACTTTATTGGCTTGTCCTCTATTGCTTGTCTTATTCTGCCTGCTGCCTCCCTTCTGCTTCTTGGGATCACCTCCCAAATAACCTACCTATCCCTAAGGACTTGTGCCAGGCTCTGCTTTTGGAGAAACCTAAACTTACAATCAACATTTTATATTCAAATAAGAATGTGTCCTTCCACAATGCCCAATTTTGTGATCACTCATGTATCAGTCTGATTAGAGACTAATTATCTTGTTCCAGAGGATCCAGAAGCCAATTCTTTAACTTCTAAGTTAGATAGGACTTTACACAGGGCACATATTATCAAGCTTTATTAACACATCTCATCCTCCTAAATGATACAATAATGAGGAAAAGGAAGCATCCCTAGTCAAAGAGGGGTCTATGGTTATAATTTCTTACCACTATGAGAAGGGATCCAAGCCCAACCAGCTAGAAGAGACTGTGAGAAACAGGTACTAATGGAGAATGCACCTCAATGGATGGCATTCTGGGAGCCTCAAGAACAAAAATAAATGAATCTTTACCCCAGTGTTGCACTGTGAATGTAACTTAGTTGCTCCATATATATGTTTTCTTTCTACTTTTCTCACTGCTGCTCAGCTGTGAAGAAGAATCTTCTGTCCCCCTCATAGCTTCTTCTTCATTTCAATTTCTGTTCCATCATACTTTATTTGCTGTGGCTCCTAATGGCTTAGCTTCTTCCCATACATCATTCCACCTTCAGTTCTGCTTTTAACTATCTTGTTTTTGCCCTACTTATAATTCAGAATTTCCATAGAGAGGTATTCCAGTTGGCTCAGCCATTAAATATCATCTCTGGGCAGAGTTTTATCCCTGCCCCCCACCACCAAGCTATAGCAGAGGATGATAACTAACCTAGAGATCAGCTACACATGAGTCTAGTGCCTGGCTCTGGTCCAATCACCTGTGGCCCATTATGGAATAAGTAGGGTCACTTGGCAAAAAATATGGTTACCTCAGCTTCCCTCTCAGCTAAAACTGGGTCAGGAAAGCCTCCTGGAAGAGGCCTTTGGCAGTTTCTGTGATTGACTAAGCGAGGACAGTAGTCAACTGTGGAGAAGGTGGGCTTAACAGTCAGGGACTCAGACATCTTCAATTTCTCACATACTAAAATGGCATGATAGTTTATGGTCCTGGTTAAAACTAGATTGAAAGGAATCAACATTTTCATGCTTAGTAATCATGACCATGATTACTCTGTCATCTTGCATATTTGACTTGAAGTGTTTGCCACCTCTTTGTCTCCCTAACATCTTCTCTGAGAGCCATGGTACCATATGATGTCATGGTTGGGAAGGACCTTAGAGTTAATCATTTTACCAAGGATCTTACTTCTGTAACATAACACCACCAACTTGTCTCTTCCTTTTTAATTGCCCTTCTAACTTGACTGGGATGGTTCAACATTTATCTGTCCTGATATCTCTTCTACTCCCCTGAATTGATCAATTTCTCCTTTTCTATTTTTTTTTTCTGTCCTGAAGAAAAAAAAAATGAGCTGTTTCCAATTTCCCCTCCTGTTCTAAATATGTCACCTCATTCCTTAACCATAATATGAAGGTTTTTGTTTTTGTTTAGAGGTATAGGTTTCTTGATGATCTTATTTCCACCACAGGACAAAAATTAGTAAAAGTGGTTTTCTTCTTTCTTTTGGCAGCAGATGGGAACAGGATGCAGAGTTCAGAGTTGATTCCAAAGAAGGTAATTTCTAAAAAATCAGAATCATCTAGTGGTACATCAGGAGGACTCTGTGGGGGTGGTTCCTGGGCGATCAGAAGCTAGATGCCCATAAAGATACTTTAGAGAAACTAGAAGCCAACCCTCACATGAAGAAGGAATTAGATTGGAAAGTGATTTCTTAGAAGTAATAGACAAGGAATCTTAAAAACACACAAAAGGGTGGATGTGCTGAATATAAGGAACTTTGGGAACATCCTAATATGTCCTTCAGAACATCAAGGAGTTCTGAAGGTGTAGAAATTCTATCCATGTGGTGAATGTGGCAAATCTATTAAGCAGAGCTCACCCCTCACTGGGCATTAGAGAATCCACAATGAAGAGAAGCCTTATGAATGTAATGAGTGTGGTAAAACCATCAGGCAGAACTTTCAATCCAATGTATTTTTTATCTCAAACATTGTAATTTTCATGTCTAGAAGTTCAGTTTGGATCTTTTTTTATTTCTTCTAAGTCTGAAAGTTCAATCTTTCCTCTGGGTTTTTGATTACATGATATATCGTTATAACTGTCTTAATATCCTTATTGGTTGATTCTAATACCTGTATCAGTTCTGGGTCAGATATTTTGAATTTTACTTTGTTCGGGGCTGGATATATTTTGTTCCTATAAATATTCTTGAGCTTTTTATTTTAGAGAGTGATGCAGTTAAGTTACATTATGGTCGGAGAACATACTTTATTATTTCAATCCTTTTAAAAGTATTGAAGTTTGTTTTATGGCCTACTATATGGTCTATTCTGGAGAATGTACTGTGTGCACTTGAGAGAAATGTATATCATGCTGTTCTTAGGTGGAGTGTCATAGAGATGTATGTTAGGTCTCTTTAGATAAAGTGTTCAAGTCCTCCATTTCCTTGTTGATCTCTGATTTTTCTAACTGCTCTTGAAAATAGGATATTGGTGTTTCCAGCTATTGTTGAAGTGTCTATTTCTCCTTTCATTCCTATCAGTTTTTCCTTCATATATTTTGGGGGCCTTTTATTAGATGCATATATAACTTTTATCTTCCTAACGGATTAACTCATCTCATTTCATATCATTATGAGATGTACTTCTTCATCTCTAATGACTTTTTTCCTGTTTCAAAGTCTATTTTGTCTGATATTAGCATAACCAGTCCAGCTTTCTTATGGTCTTTGCATGATAGATACTTTTCTATCCTTTTACATTTAATCTATTTGTATCTTTGAACCTAAAGTGTGTCTCCTGTAGAAATATATACATATATTATTTCTTTATCCAATCTGACCTCTCTCCTTTTTTATTTGGTTGCTTAACCCATTCACATTTAATGTCATTATTGGTGTGTTCTAGGTATTTATCCAAAGGATACAAAAATAGTGATTCGAAGGGGCACATGCATCATAATGTTTATAGCAGCGATGTCCACAATAGCCAAAATATGGGAAGAGCCCAGATGTTCATCAACAGATGAATGGATAAAGAAGTGGTGTGTGTGTCTGTAGGTATATAATGGAACATTAGTCATCAAAAAGAATGAAATCTTATCATTTGCAACAGTATGGATTGAACTAGAGGGTATTATGCTAAGCAAAAGAAGTCAGTCAGAGAAAGACAAATACCATATGATTTCACTCATGGGGAATTTAAGAAACAAAACAGATGAACATGGGGGAAAGGAAAGAAAAATAAAATAAGAGGAAAACAGAGAGGGAGGCAAACCATAGAGGCTCTTAACTGTAGGAAACAAACTGAGGGTTGCTGGAGGGGAGGTAGGTGGGGGGACAGGGTAATTGGGTGATTAAGGAGGGTATTAAGGAGGGTACTTGATGTAATGAGATTTTATGTCTTTTAAAGAATCTGAAAGACAACAAGGATGTCTTATGGACCCACCCAGGGTGGGTGAGTACATCTTAAATGACAAATCCACTCTGAACATTGCAATCTCTCTAAGCCTCTAAATACTTTCCTTTAAATTAAAGAAAGGGAGGTTGGACATTTCCATCTCATTCATGGAGTGGGGGGGGGGCGGGGGCGGGGGAAGGGATACCTTTTGGTTTGTGTTTCATCCAGTCAACCAAACTGTCAGAACCCTTCCTAACTCCCAGAGCTTACCAATGCAAATGCTAATCTCTTCTGGAAATAACCTCAGACGCACCCAGAAATATCACTATCTGGCATCTCTTAGCTCTGTCAAGTTCAATATAAAGTTAACCATCACAACAATTTATTGGTGTAGAATCTCATCTAATTGATATCATCTCTTTCAATCCCGATATTGGTACTTGTGTCTTCTCTTTAATTAATCTTGCTGGAGGTTTACTGATTTGATTGATTTTTCTAAAATTTTGGAAGTTAAAAAAAAGGTACAATGAG